TAAAAAAACATTGAACTTCTCACAAAGGAGTCAACGCTGCAAGGAGAATCTCTCTTAAAATTTACTTTTTAAGAGACGACATTACCGTCTAAAATTCAAATGTTACTGTTAGGCTTATTGACGCATTGATAACCCGGTAGATAGCTCCATACTGAAAACATTGTTATTAGTTTTTGTATATCTTTGTCTATGAGCCACGTGTGAGTATACAAAAACAGCGAAGTACAGATTGATGGCTTGTTTTCACGAATCTAGGATTTCGGGAATCGCTACGAACTACGCGATCACGCATTTAGTAATATTTCTTTTTCTCCTAATGATTGATACCGGAAGAAAATAGTAGCGGTGTAATGCTATTTTATGTGCCCTTTATAGAAAAAATTTATATTAGCATTTAGCTTACTGGCAAAAATCCCGTGAGGGATTTTTGCCAGTAAGGTTCTTTTACGGACAAAATATCGAACATGGATACATTAATGTTTTGTTTAATTACGTTATTGTTATGCGTTATAATACAAGTCTTAAAATAAAACAAATCAATTTCATCCGGAATACATCGATTTTGGATGTCATACATCGTGTCGGAGACTGCGTGATTACTTGCGTGACGTTAATTTTGTCAACAACATTATCGTGGAGTTTCTAATTTGTACATGATTGACGTAACCTCGAATAACCTTTTTCATAGTGCTTAGCAACGATCAATCACAATGTAGAGAATGTAGTATAAGAATTAGGATCTCGTTTCAAGTTTCCAGAGTAGCTCTTTACACGCCTGCTGTAACTGAGTGAATACGCGAGAACGATTAAACAGTTAAACTCAGTCGAGTCCGTTGATTAAGTCCAGTACGTTAGAAGACCGGTTATCCCTAGTAAACGGGGCAAAGTTTACGAAAATCGATGTTGTGCGGCATACATCGCTTTCCTGGCTCATTCACGCGTGACCTTATATAACTAAAAGATGTTCAATAAAACTAAAAGATGAGGAAGCGGAAATAGAAATGACCGGAAGTCAGATTAAACAAGAAGCCCCGGAAACTAACCCTTTCAAAATGGCGGCAATAAGAAGAACTACGCAAAGTGTACGGATTTGGCTGCCCAACTTCGAAGAATTTTTTACGTCTTTGGGTAGGCTACTGGAAAGTACAGAAGGGCAAAGGAACACTGCGTCCTACGACTCGGCTGAATTTTTTTAAGTCGTCGTTTACCAGAAAACGAAAGAACTCTTGTCACTTTGACTCTAGGAATAGAAGAAGCCTTCCCAAACGAAGTTGAGGTGATCTCTGATCTAAACGAACTTGTTTTTCTTATGAGCGAACTTTCAAGGGACTTTGACTGAATTTTCGAGGACTCGCTACGTTCTACGTTTACTGCATCATCGTCCCTAAACGATCGTCTTTCAACTGTGGCAAGGAACGGTTTAGTTGGCAGACCAAGGCTACAGATCTTACAGCAAGAGCTGCAAACTCTGCACAATGACGCCGATTTTCGTTGGGCTGATATCAGAAGAGTTCTTGGAATCTCCGGAAGAACTTTGCGCCGTCGAAGACATGAATTTGGGTTTCCAGTTGGTGTGGGAGAGAATTTTAGTGATGTCTCCAACGATGACCTTGACGAATATATGAGGGAAATTCTTGAAGTGACACCAAGCGCTGGTCAACGTCTGGTTGAAGGGGGCTTAAGGAAAAGGGGCTTCCGAATCCAGTGCCATCTTATTCAGGAATCCATTCGAAGAGTGGATCCGGTTCTTCGCACTTTAAGAGCAGCGCAGCAGATAATTCGTAGAGTGAACAGTGTGCCATGCCCCAATGCGTTATGGTAAAGTAAACGAATTCTTTGAAGCGCTATTTAGTTAACACTACCTTCTTTCCAACGAGTCTCTGTTTAGAGGGGTCTCCATTTTTAACAGGCCCCCCTACACCATTAGAGCCCACCACCCCTCTTTTAAAAATAGTTTGTTATTTCTCTAAGGGCAACACCCTCCTGGGGGGACTCCTGTATAAAAAGGACAGGGATGCTTGTTATACCTATTAGGGTTTGAAAAATGCAGGTTTGGTACCTCTTATGGTGGTCAGTTCCAAAAGGTCCACAGCAAGAGCTTTTGTGCTATCTCCAAGGTAGGGTCTTGAACAGAAAAAAATGACAGCTAGGGTTAACTGTGTTGTTTCAGAATTGTTTCCTCTTAGAGGTGAAAAGCATATTAAGCTATGCCCATAAAACAGGATCTTGATACCTTTTAAGGGTTCTTTTCAAAATTTGCAACAAGCACTCCTTTCCTTTTTATATGGGAGTTCCCTCCACACAGGGGTAACACTGGTTTTAAATCTGTGATACAAGGGAGGTCAGGCTGTAATTTTGATGCATGAGTATTAATGCCAATTCAACTCATGATTTGAGATACCTCCCCCAGTTCTATTTAGCCCCCTCACTAATCACCCTAACCCAGTTTCCCAGCCCCCACCTTCCCCTGATATTATGCTCAAAATTCCTAGCTATCATGCCTGTTACTCATGGGTGATCACAAAATGCCTCTTGTTGTTGTTATGATTATTATTTTTGTTGTTGTCATTATAATTATTACCACTATTACTCAGATAGGCAAATTTTACTTTTTTTACATACCATATTTAACCTAACTTATATGTGATAGTGTAGTGGAACAAAGTCTTCATGGTGTCCAACAGGCACATTGGTGGCAACCACAAACTAATCCAGCCATATAAAATTGTCATTCATGGTGGTTTAGATGGTTTTTCAAGAATGATAGTGTTCCTTCAGGCATCAACCGACAACAGGGCTTTAACTGTACTGCTGTATTTCCAGTCAGCTGTTGAGCACTAGAATTTACCATCAAGAGTTCGCAGTGATCTTGGAATGGAAAACATAGAAGTTGCTTGCTTCATGCTGCAAGAAAGAGGTTTAAATAGAGGCAGCCACATCACTGGAAAATCTGTTCATAACCAGAGAATAGAGCATCTCTGGTGTGATGTCAACTGGGTTATTGTGAGCCACTTTTTGAACATTTTCCTCTTTCTTGAGCACAGTGGAATTTTAGATCCAACAGATGAGGTGCATCTGTTTTGTATTCATCTAATTTACATTACACTGATTAATAATGCCATTAACCTATTTATCAGTTAGTGGAATAATCCTCCTGTAAGCACACCATGCAATTTCTCTCCCAATCAGCTCTGGATACAAGGAATGCTACATTTCAGAAATTCTGGGTATAAGGCTGTGACAGATGTGACTGCCAGCAAGGCTGTCAATTTATTCAATCTTTATGGGATTGGTGAAGAAGGGCCTGTACCTGACATTCGGAGTGACTATGCAGTTTTGGTACCTGACACAATTACTACTCTGACACATAACCAAGAATTGTCACTGCAAGAAGCTAAAGATGCAGTTTTAAGACTTGTATTATAACGCATAACAATAACGTAATTGAACAAAACACTAATGTATCCATGTTCGATATTTTGTCCGTAAAAGAACCTCGTATTCAGGAATCTATTCGAAGAGTGGATCCGGTTCTTCGCACTTTAAGAGCAGCGCAGCAGATAATTTGTAGAGTGTACAGTGTGCCATGGCTCAATGCGTTATGGTAAAGTAAAAGAATTCGTTGAAGCGCTATTTAGTTTAACACTACCTTCTTTCTAACGAGTCTCTGTTTAGGGGGGTCTCCTTTTTTAACAGCCCCCCCCCCTACACCATTAGAGCCCACCACCCCTTTTTTCAAAATAGTCAGGCAGTTTGTTATTTCTCTAGGGACAACACCCCCCTGGGGGGACTCCTGTATAAAAAGGACAGGGATGCTTGTCATACTTTTTAGAGTTTAAAAATGCAGGGTTGGTACCTCTTATAGTGGTCAGTTCCAAAAGGTCCACAGTGAGAGCTTTTGCGCTACCTCTTAGGTAGGATCTTGAACAGAAAAAAACGACAGCTAGGGTTAACTGTGTTGTTTCAGAATTGTTTTCTCTTAGGGGTGAAAAGCATATTAAGCTATGCCCATAAAACAGGATCTTGGTACCTTTTAAGGGTTCTTTTCAAAATTTGCGACAAGCACTCCTTTCCTTTTTATATGGGAGTTCCCTCCACACAGGGGCAACACTGGTTTTAAATCTGTGATACAAGGGAGGTCAGGCTGTAATTTTGATGCATGAGCATTAATGCCAATTCAACTCATGATTTGAGATACCTCCCCCAGTTCTATTTAGCCCCCTCACTAATCACCCTAACCTAGTTTCCCAGCCCCTACCTTCCCCTGATATTATGCTCAAAATTCCTAACTATCATTCCTGTTATTCATGGGTGGTCAAAAAAATGCCTCTTGTTGTTATGATTATTATTGTTGTTGTTGTCATTATTATTATTATCACTATTACTCAGATAGGTAAATTTTACTTTTTTACATACCATATTTTAATCTAACTTATATGCGATAGTGTAGTGGAACAAATGTCTTCATGGTGTCCAACAGGCACATTGATGGCAACCACAAACAAATCCAGCCACACAAAATTATCCTTCATGGTGGTCTAGATGGTTTTTCAAGAATGATAGTATTCCTTTAGGCATCAACCAATAACAGGGCTTTAACTGTACTGCAGTATTTCCAGTCAGCTGTTGAGCACTACAATTTACCATCAAGAGTTTGCAGTGATCTTGGAATGGAAAACATAGAAGTTGCTCGCTTCATGCTGCAAGAAAGAGGTTTAAATAGAGGCAGCCACATTACTGGAAAATCTGTTCATAACCAGAGAATAGAGCATCTCTGGTGTGATGTCAACCAGGTTATTGTGAGCCGCTTTTGGAACATTTTCCTCTTTCTTGAGCACAGTGGAATTTTAGATCCAACAGATGAGGTGCATCTGTTTTGTATTCATCTAGTCTACATTCCACTGATTAATAATGCAATTAACCAATTTATCGGTCAGTGGAATAATCATCCTGTAAGCACACAATGCAATTTCTCTCCCAATCAGCTCTGGATACAAGGAATGCTACATTTCAGAAATTCTGGGTATAAGGCTGTGACAGATGTGACTGTCAGCAAGGCTGTTAATTTATTCAATCATTATGGGATTGATGAAGAAGGACCTGTACCTGACATACAGAGTGACTATGTAGTTTCGGTACCTGACACAATTACTACTCTGACACATAACCAAGAATTGTCACTGCAAGAAGCTAGAGATGCAGCCTTCCAAACTGGTGATCATGATGGAATCATAGCCTACCAAGTGGTATTGCAGATTGCTTCTTTTTATTTAAACTGCTGCTCATGATTTACTGTATTAACTTCATGTACTTGGAATGAACTCTTAATACAGTTAGTATAAATTGGTTACTGCTATACATGTCAGTATGCCAAGAATAAAATTACTAATGACAATGTAAATGGGAAACAGTAACAATAATCAGTTATAATCTCAAATCTAACAGCCTTACTAATACAAAGGGGTGTAAAACTTTGAATATCTGGGAAAAAATATGTGATGTTATAGTTGCATAATGTACTAGATGCTTCACAGTATTAACAATTTAAACCTGAGATCTAGCCTTGATTTGCAATCACTCAAAACAATAACAAATGAGGTAAAGCTGTGGCTACATTGCATGCATAATGGCTATTGCAGAGAAGTTTACGCCCTTGATGATGAGCTATTGTAAGCTCTTTTTGTTAGTGTTGAGTTTATCATGCTGTTAACGAAACAGTTAATATGCTGAGTAACTTGAAACTGGAACTTTGAACGTGGAACATTTCCTGAGTAACCTAAACGGATTTGAAAATTTTATTGTTTTATATGGAGGGTCCACTGCCATATTTTCCTTCGAGTAGTAGAAATTTCTAGCAATAAAGGAGCAAAACATTCCCATAGACATATGTAAAGTCATGGATAATTGTACCAATTACACAGATTTTTTTCCTTAAAACCTCAAGTTACGCCCTCCCCTATTCAGTCTCTTAGTGATTATGATTCTATGTGTTTTTTTTTTTATGTCCTATGAAAAGTATGAATACAAATGGTTTGTGGGCCCAAGAATAACACAACCGTTAACTGAAAGTAAGATAAGGAAGGATCCAGTGATCCTTTCATGTCTATATCTTTCCAAAACCAATTTTGCCATAAGCTATACTCTCATCCAAGAATTCTTCTGATATAAGCCCAACGAAAACCGGCGTCATTGTGCAAAGTTTGCAGCTGTTGCTTTAAGATGTATAGCCTTGGTTTGCCAACTAAACCGTTCCTAGCCACAGTTGAAAGACGATCGTTTAGGGACGATGGTGCAGTAAACGTAGAACGTTCCGAGTCCTCGAAAATTCTGTCAAAGTCCCTTGAAAGTTCGTTCATAAGAAAAACAAGTTTTTTTAGATCAGAGATCACCTCAACTTCATTTGGGAAGAATAAAGGGGTAAGTTTCTAAAGAAACTGTGGTGCTGCGTCGGTGGGAGAGTATAGCAGGTAATTTAGTGTTAACAACTGGGTTGAAAACGTAAATTAGCCACCGTAAAGGGTAAAAAAGCTGACGTTTCGAGCGTTAGCCCTTCGTCAGAGCGATTCAATCGATTCCAATCGCTCTGAAGAAGGGCTAACGCTCGAAACGTCAGCTTTTTTACCCTTTACGGTGGCTAATTTACGTTTTCAACCCAGTTGTTAACGCTAAATTACCTTCATTTAGGAAGGCTTCTTCTATTCTAAGAGTCAAAGTGACAAGGGTTCTTTCGTCTTCTCGTAAATGGCGACTAAAAAATTCAGCTGAGTCGTAGGACGCAGTGTTCCCTTGTCCTTCTGCACTTTCCAGTAGCCTACCCAAAGACGTAAAAAATCCTTCGATGTTGGGCAGCCAAATCCGTGCACCTTGCATAGTGCTTCTCAAACTTCACTGATCGTCTGCCTCCATTTCCGCCATTTTGAAAATGTTAGTTTCCGGGGCTTCTTGTTTAATCTAACTTCCGGTCATTTCTATTTCCGCTTCCTCATCTTTTAGTTTTATTGAACATCTTTTAGTTAGGTCACGCATGAATGAGTCAGGAAAGCGATGTATGCTGCACAACATCGATGTATGACATCCAAAATCGATGTATTCCGGATGAAATTGATTTATTTTATTTTAAGACTTGTATTATAACGCATAACAATAACGTAATTGAACTAAACATTAATGTATCCTTGTTCGATATTTTGTCCGTAAAAAACCCTCATACATCTCAGGTTTGAACTTTTCGTGGGGAACAAGCGCTGCACCTTACATGAAGTAATTTTAATTTAACCGCTGTACTTAAACTTGGTGTTCGACCCTCGATCAACGCCTTCGTTATATTGTCACCCGCTTCCTTCAACTCTTGATTGTCCTCGGTTTGTTGAGTCGCCGGAGAAGTCGTGGTCACTGCTTTTAGAGGTTTTTAGCAGTGGAAACCAGTCACAACAATCAGCAAAAGTTTGCATTCAGTGATCAAAGGTATTCGTTTCAGGAATTATGATTTTTCTACGTTTCAGGACCTGTTCGATACGGAAGCCGAAAAGGGACAATCCAAAACATTTGCGATCCGAAAAAATATTTTGAATCGATATCTTTAAGACAAATCGCTTTTGAAAAGTTTGGCCACTTGAGAAAAAAAATTTCAAATTCTGGTTTAATTCACAAATCCACAAATAACTCTCATGAAAATCGAAAATAGTTTACAATCAAAATCCAAAAGTTTCGCAAAGCGAGGTAAATATTTCGATAGGTGACACTTGCGCTTAGTGAACACTTTGTCGCGATACAGCACATCGTGTCGCACTAGGTTGCACAAGGTCGACTTGGAGTCACAAGGCGAACAGACTAAACTATGCCAAGTGTATTGCGATGTTCTGCCTGAGATGTGGGAGAGAATTTGGTCCTTTTCGGCTTCCTCAGTTCGATATCACTTTCAGATATAAGGTAAAATTTCCGCACGGCCCCATACTACTTTATGCATTCAGTTCTTGGATAGAGAAAACAATGACAAAAACAATACATTGCCATTGGGAAAACAGATTTGTTTTACAATAGTATGGGGCTGTGCGGAAATTTTACCCATCGCAATGACTGCTAAGACACTTCTGAGATACAACGCAGCGATGTTCTAGACCCAATTTCTTAATGGTATTTTAGCTGTACCTGTCCTCTTGCTTAACCACTCTAATGTGTTGGTTTGCAATGTTTGCGTCGGCTGGAAACTTGCGTAAAGCTCTGCTTCTTTGTCAACTTAAGGTTACTTCTCCCGAAGTAGTCCATTCAATTAGGGATATATCTAATTTTGTAAAACTTTCTCAATTTAGTGCATGTTAAAAGTGTGTGCTGTCCTTGGATTTGCATTGTCCGTGTCTTTGTTGCATTACATGTTTACAACTGTGAGGTGTTAATAGCGACTTGGTATGGAAAAATATGGAAAATGAATTTTGTATGTTATAGAGTCTGGATCTTTTTCCATAATCAGCCACTCACTTCGAGAGTAGAAAGCAGAGTAAATAAATTTCTGGGTTGTGTCACAAACTCTCGTGGTCTGCGCATGGAATCAGAGGGCCCTTTTTATGTTTGTAAATGCATTTGCAGTTCCCTATTTGTCGATCTTGTTTGTAACTACTTCTCACTTGTCACATTGCTAATTCGTGATTTACTTTGGATTGAATCAGTAAATGTCAGCTTGGGGAACTGGTTGGAAATCAATTATTTATTTTTTTTAAACGATCTAACCTCTATCGATGTTTGTGGCCAACCACTCCACGAATATAGAGTGATGAGTCTCCTATTTCTAGAATGCTATTACCGTATTTACTCGTCTGTAATTCGACCTTTTATGACCAAAAAAACAGCCCAAAAAAATCAGCCTCGACCTATACACGAGTCATACACAAAGACCTGACTCAAGTAATCCAATAAATAAGCATAGTAATTGTCTGAAGTCCGTCAGGAAAGCCGAGTTTATAAAACCAGTTTGAATTGTGTTCGAGTTTCGTCACTTTTCAGCGCATTCTTCGTCCACAAAAAAGTTTGAGATAATTAATTTTGGGTGGCTTGACACAAAGCTACTAGAGCTGATTTCTATTGTGTCTTCGGACTGTAGAGCAGACATTTTCTCGTACAGCTTCGCTATTGTTTACAGCGCTGAACTTTTGATTCCATCGAATGAGTATTGTAGCTTAGTAACCTGGCAAATGCCGTTGTCTCGCGCAGTCTTGCTTGTTACGCGCGATCCTTCGAAGCTATTCGGTGTTCCTTCGGTTTACTTAATCTCCTTTCAAACTCAACATTAAGATAAAGATTAGTAAAATGCAAGAATATTTCATTTTCAATGTGATTTACAAAATATGGTAAAATGCTTCTCCAATAAATTGAAGTGCTTGAATCGTTGTGATATAAACAAATGTCGGTAAACTTAAAAGCAAACGGTTACATTTTGCTTTGCACGTGTTTTCAATACATTCACAGAAATAAGAGATTAACTGTTGGGAAATTTCTATCTGTCTGAATTTTACTTCTTTTACTAGGATTGATGAAAAATCCGAATTTTGAACTTAAAAATGGGGGGTCGACTTCTACACGAGTTCAACTTCACAGGAAAAAATTTAAGATTCCAAGTTGGAACAACATTGGCATATTATTGGTTATTTTAATGCTACCAATATTATACCAATGATATACCAAAAAATGTAAATTTAGATATGCTAACATACATGTAGGTACTTTACTGGATAATAATAAATTATTATTGGTAAACCTAACAACACCCATACCAATAATGTAAGATTATTGGAATTCCTGAACACCTTTACCAATAAGATACCAATGGTATACCAATTTCAATCAACATTTAACTCAAACATCTGCCAATATTGGTATTTCATTGGATAATGATTGGGAGTTCTCGCAAGATACATACCAATAATGGAAGATTATTGGAATTCCTGAACACATTTACCAATAAGATACCAATGGTATAACATTATTGAATTGAATGTTATAGACACATGTACAGATAGAAATTACATGTAGCTATAATTTTATTGAAAGCATTCAAGCATGCATACACTGTATCAATCTGGCCAATGATTATTGTAGAACCTCATGAAGAATGTGATGGAGTTTCTTTACACAGTTAATACAGTGTTTATTTGGCAAGTAGTGGTGAAAAGCTAAATTTGGTACTACAGCTTCAGTTAAGCATCATGTCAAGAGGTAAACTGGATTACCCAGTCACCCGCAACTATACCAAGGA